CATTCTTTAATAAGCTTGAAATTACACATCGTGTGTCTTGTCCTCATACACATCAGCAAAACGGTGTAGCTAAGCGTAAGCATCGTCATATAGTTGAGACTAGTCTTGCTTTGCTTGCCCATGCCTCCGTTCCCTTTCGGTTTTGGAGTGATGCATTTTCCACTGCATGCTTTCTCATTAACAGACTCCCTACACGACTCCGTCAGATGAAAACACCACTTGAGCTCTTGTTGAATGAAGTTCCTGATTATACGTTTCTCAAGGTCTTTGGGTGTGCGTGTTGGCCACATCTTCGTCCATATAACCAACGCAGGTTGGAGTTTCGGTCTAAACAGTGTGTGTTTCTTGGTTATAGTTCTCTTCATAAAGGGTACAAGTGTCTTCATGTTCCCTCTAACCGCGTCTAACATCTCACGTGATGTGGTGTTTGATGAGAATGTTTTTCCTTTTTCCGCACTTCCGGTAACCTATACCACTCCCACTACACCTAAGAAATTTGTTTTACCTTTGCCTGGTTAATTTGTTGATGCTACATATACCCCCTTATTGCTACCTAACCATGGTGCAGGTACTGGGCGTGGAGCACGCCTCAAGCTTCTGGATGAGTAGCCGCCTGCGTCCCCTCGGACGTTCGCCGAGCCCGCTCGCGACGCTCCTCCGTCACCTGGCTTGTCGACGGGGCTGCTCGAGCCAAGCCCTGCTTCCTCGGTCCAGCATGGGGCTGGCCACGCGCTGGCTAAGCTGGTCAAGCTGGCCGAGCTAGCTTTGCCCGAGCCCACCTCTGCCGCCGGGGCCGAGCCGGCGTCCCCGCCCGTGTTGGCTTCGCCCGAGCCAGCCTCTGCCGAGCCAACGTTCACGCCTTCCTCGTCAGGCCGGTCGCCTGGCGCGACTAGCTCTGCGTCTGGGGAGCGGTCTGCGTCGTCATCGCCATCTTCACCGACCTATTCTGCATCCTCGTACGTGCAATCAGAATGGTATTCTTCGGCCGAAGGAGCGCACTAACGGCACGGCTGCATGGATTGCGGCGTGCATGGCACAGACAGATGCTAACCCCACAGTTGAGCCTCGGCATTTTCAGGCGGCTCTTCAGATTCCTCATTGGCGCAATGCCATGGAGCATGAGTTTCAGGCACTACAGAGGAACGATACTTGGCGCTTGGTTCCTCCTGTGTCTGGTGTCAACATCATTGACTCCAAGTGGGTGTTTAAGGTAAAGAAGCATGCTGATGGTTCTATTGAGCGATACAAGGCACGGTTGGTGGCTAAAGGGTTTAAACAACAGTATGGTCTTGATTATGAGAATACCTTTAGTCCAGTTGTCAAACCTACCACCATTCGTCTGCTTCTGTCCTTGGCTGTTGCCAAAGGGTGGTCTCTGCGTCAGCTTGATGTTCAGAATGCTTTTCTCCATGGGGTCTTGGAGGAAGAGGTTTACATGCGGCAACCTCCAGGTTTTGTTGATCCTGCTCGTCCACACCATTTGTGTCGTCTTGTTAAGGCGCTTTATGGACTTAAGCAGGCTCCTCGTGCATGGCATGCTCGACTTGGCTCGGTTCTTCGACGTCTTGGATTTGCTTCGTCCACTGCTGACACGTCTCTGTTCATGTTCCATCGTCCTGAGGTTACTATCTACCTGCTGGTTTATGTTGATGACATTATTCTTATCAACTCCTCAGTGACTGCCGCTGATCATCTACTGTTTGCTCTGAGTGGTTATTTTGCTGTCAAGGGTCCGGGTGCTCTCCATTACTTCCTTGGTCTGGAGGTTTCACGATCCCCTGCTGGCCTGACTCTCAGTCAGCATAAGTATTCCTTGGACTTGCTGCGACGTGCTGGTATGTTGCAGTGCAAGCATGCTACCACCCCTATGTTTGTGACTGATCGGTTATCAGCCTTGGATGGTGCCTTGCTTCCTTCAGATGATGCTATAGAATACCGCAGTATTGTTGGTGGCTTGCAGTACATGACTATCATGCTCATGCTCCTCAGACTTCACATACTGCGGTACTCTATAGCATCATCCAAATACAATATGCGGTAAACCGTGTGTGCCAGTATCTTCATGCTTCTCGGACTTCACATTGGTCGGCTGTGAAGCGTATACTGCGTTATCTCTCTCATACTGTCTCCATGGCTTTGCATCTTCGGCCTTCCTCCTCAAGTGCTCTCTCGGCGTTCTCTGATGCAGATTGGGCTGGGAGCCTGGATGACCGGCGATCAACAGGGGCTATGATGTCTTCTTTGGTCGCAACTTGATCGCCTGGAGTGCGCGCAAGCAGGCCACAGTATCTCGAAGTAGCACTGAAGCAGAGTACAAGGTGGTTGCCAATGCCACCACTGAGCTCATCTGGGTACAGTCTCTGTTGAGAGAGTTGGGAGTCTCTCAAGAGTAGCCACCGGTTCTTTGGTGTGATAATATTGGTGCAACGTATCTTTCATCTAATCCAGTTTTCCATGCTCGTATCAAGCACATCGAAGTTGACTATCACTTTGTGAGGGAACGTGTTGCATAGAAGCTTCTTCATATCAAGTTCATCTCCTCCAAAGATCAACTTGCTGAGATCTTCACGAGGCCACTTTCATAACCTCAGTTTGAAGGTTGTAGGCACAATCTTAACTTGCTTTGTACTTCAGGCCACAGCTAAGATTGAGGGAGGGTGTTAGATAATGTTTATACGTAGCTTCTTTGTATACTCTGTATATTGTATTTGTACACTTCGTGTACCCTTATATATATGAGATAGCCACACCCGTATTGGGTGTCGAGCAGTTTCCCACAAATCATAATTGTTTACACAACTCTGGGTCCACAAGGGATTTCATTTCAAGAATATTACCAAAGGGGAGTATCCCTCAAGGTGCTAGGAGCAAGTCTGCGGCAGACCGACACATAACACCTAAGCGTCTATTAGGCGGGACAAGGTGAGTCTAGGCAGAAGGCTAGGCAGAGCATGTTAGAACACTGCCAACAGGAGTCACTGCCCACCGCAGCAAATTTATTGGGTATCAAAATTACATTCAGGATTTAGAAACGGAAAAAAGTTTGAACAACCCCAGGAGAGACTAATTTAACATTGTGCTCATGCTTTTTACCACTAGCCTACCCCAACTTGTTTGGGACTAAAGGCTTTGTTGTTGTTGTTGTTGTTGTTGCTCATGCTTTTTACCACCAAGAGTGGGTTATTACTACCCTGCTTAATTAAGTTGTGCTATTTATTACTCCCCCCGTCCCATAATATAGTGCGCATTGGTTTTCGCGGAAGTCAAGCTACACAAACTTTGACCAAGTTTATAGATAAAATGATACATATCTAAAATACCTGATATATACCATATGACAATATATTTCATGATACATATAATGTTAATGATTTGGTATTTTAGATGTTGATTGATTCAATAAATTTGGTCAAAGCTTGCAAGATTTGACTTAAAAAATATCTAATACACACCATATTTTAGGACAGAGGGACTACATTGGTTTAACCATTTTATGAAACTGAATACTTTTTGGCACATTTAATCAACTTTAGTGAATTAAAATTACTCAAGGAAAGTCGTCCTGCCTATTTTAGGAGAAGAGAACTAACATCTGTACAACGCTTCTATAACCAAAACTCTCAGAGTTTATTTGGCCTGAAGCTTATCAACGTATAAGCTGAAGTTTGAGCAAAGCAATCAGATGGTAGTTGGCCTAATTCTGTCCCCTTTGACTGTAGCATGCTGAGTTAAATTTTGAAAGCACTGGAGCACCATTCAGGATACAATGGATACATCTTACCTCTAAAAATGGTCCTCTTCGAGAACGCTACATTAGTATATACCCTGAGGTGGCAACTGTTCTCATCTAGGTTGTCTTGTTCAACATCCCAGATTCCCTGCAAGGTAAATAGGCCAACAACAATTCCAGGAAGTGCCCAAAACAAAAATAAAAACAACAAAATACTTATATAGCTTGCTACAAAATATTGGCTTTCCTACAATGACAAATATATGTTTCTGTATGTGTAGAGGACATAAGTAAGCATCCATAACACTCGCCATTTCTAAAATTGAAACCCTTATATGCCCCTAGGCACACAATGTCATAGATGCAGGGTGCCCCATGTACCCACATGTGTCATAAACACAGGAGGTTCAACTTTGCAGTGGCATATGAGGATTTAACTATTTATTGTAACAGTAAAAGTTTATAAAAGCAAGGTTCATATTTCAACATTAGTCATTTGTAACAACAATAGGGAGTTTATAGAAGCAAAAAAAGGAAGTTCCAAAATTCAAAGTTCATATTTCATTGCCAAAAGACGAAGCTTGGATCGACGTTTGAGACAATGTTTGTTTTTAACCTGTTTGATTAAGATGCAAGGTATTGCTTTGTTTTTGCTTAACTTGGATTCCACATTCATGTCCATGGCCCTCAATAGGGAGGACTAGTGAGCAGCATGTGCCACTATTTATATGCAACGGTGATAAATAATGTTAAGGTTTAAAAAGAGATCACAAGTTCAATCACATGTTACTTTATCATGAAATATTACAACAGCCTGTGACACTTTATGCCGCTATGAGATACCTCTTCACTAAAAATTAATTAAGGTATATTTCAATTAAATGTGTGGATTAAGATAATCACAAAACTGAAAACGCTAGATCATGTACCCTAATGCATTTATAATTGAACAGATAGAGCTATGTGAACTATATTCGTCATGCTGAGTTTAGTGGACAGAAGTGATTTCAAGCTACATGAAGCAACATTGTGACTTGTTTCCTGACCTCAACAATGAAATGGTCCCCGTATGGTGCATCACCAATTTCTTGAGATGTCTGAATCACAACATGACTGGTCAAGTAAACAAGAAAAAAGAAACATCAGCAAGTCTTAGCATGAACCATTTATTGCGGTAAAACATAAGAGCTCTTTAGCACGTATAGCAAGATCACAGAAAAAGGAAACTGTCCACTGTACTGCTATATAGTACTCTGTTTGTTTACTTAACCCCATCGATCTTTTAGGGGTGATCTTAAATCCCTGGTCATCGAATGCCGGATCACTTTACTCCCGAGGCCAGTTTGAGAAGAGCTTTGCAACTGTGGCATCACGCATCGGTGTTCACTCCATCTTCCACATATACTCTTTTGCTCTCTTCCCTATCTATTTATCACTCTCTTTGGGAAGGAGTGATATTTGGAGGGCGTAAGATGTGGGGGCATGATGTCCATTGACAGTATTCATGTGTACTTAGAAGTGGCAAAAAAGACAATATGTACCATACCATCGTTTATGCTATTAATCCGAGAGTTGATAAAATGGTAATGGAACATTGGGGAGTTAAGTGCACTAAAAACTGGGACTTAAGGAAATAGACGTGGTAGTCAATAACTCAATACCGCCCACTGCTAGGCAAAATCAAACTTGGGTTAAGTGCAATCGCAAAACATATCTAAACTCAACGAGAAAGAAAAGTACAGCCTCCGTTCTATAATTCTTGTCATGGAACGGAGGGAGTAGGTGATAAGCAGCATAATCATCTTCACATACAAACGACATGGATTATCATTAATACAAGAATTGGCACTAGCAAACCCAATTATCAAGTTAGGGCGTGTGTATAGACTGCCACGATGGGTTGAGTAACTGAGCTAACATTCTATTCCAAATAATCATTTGGATTAAACAAAAAATATTCTGGTACGGATTAAATTCTAGGCCATGTCACTAGAAACCACCACCAAGAAGTTCATGCAGAAGAACAGAAATTCACATGAAATAATAGGTAATATCACAGCTGAACTTTGACTTAATAACCTTAGCGATCGTTTGACTACCTGCAGAAGTATATTAAACTTAAACTAACCTGTTTCTGTACAGACGAAGCTTCTGAACCTCCTGACATGTCCCAAATTTTGCACCTAAACACAATTTAGAGTTATCAACATAAATGCTACGACAACATAAAGTAATTAAGGCACACGGTGACATATGAAATGCAAATTATTATATCCAGTAGGCACGAAGTTCTAGACATACCAAGATAAATTTTAATTGGGTGCAAGAATGAGACATCTCTTACAAGTCCTCCTTGCTCATCCAAACGCCAATTGGAACAACGAAATTCTGCAGGTCATCTAGGTATCAATAGAATATATTACTGACAAGATGTGTTAACTGGAAAGGGGGAAGTATTGGGTATTAACCTTTGTCACCACACTTTTTGTGGAGATCATCCAGAAAGCCAAGGGCGCCATCAGAGAGTAAGACATTAAAGAAAACTTCCACAGATACCTAACACCAGAATGTCAGTTGGGCAAAGTTACGTTAATAGTCATAGCAGTACAAAATAAGTGAAATCTGGCAAACCTGAAACTTAGACTCCGTGATCAAAGTATATGATTCAGGTACTGGAAAAGGGAAAGATATGCAGGCAAGAAAAATAGTTAAGTAACAAAAAACTAACGGGGTTAACAATGTCAAGAAAGACAAAGAAAAGAACAATTCAAACAAACCATTAGGAGCATCATCATCAAACAGCTGCAAGTTAAATGGGTTAAGAGATCCAGGGTTGTCCTCGGTTCCATCCACTGGCGCTTTTAAGAATCTTTTAGAAGTACTGGCATCTGGATCACCACAATCAGTACTACCCCCAATGATAGCTGTAGGATTGGCAGACCTACATTCAAAATACCCAACTGAACATTCACAGATAATTCATGAAGGACAAAAGTCCATTTGAGCTAAACTAACGAGAGGGTCAATTTAGTTCAGCCTGTAAAGATAACCTGTTCAATGGCGACGAACCTTCATCTTGTTTAGATTCTTTTCCTTCTTCCAACAAAACGTAACCATTTTCATCACTGCTACTTGCTGACTTTGCATCCTACGGTGCAGCAAAAGAGAAGTACAGACAGCCTATTAGAAATGAACTTCTTTATAACTTGTTAGAACAAAAGAGTTCAATAGAAACTAGTTTACCAACCTGACGTTCAATGAGCAACCTAGCATCGCTAACATGCTGCTCCCAACCATCTACTATAATACGATACGCTTCATCGCGCACCAAGAAAGATCCAAAAAAATGCTGCAAGTAATCATACATGAGTGAGTGACATCTTATATATACTAGAAATTTAGGCAGTGATATCTTCCTCACCCTCTTCGCACCAGCAACAATTTCTATGGCGTTAGGAAAAATAGCAGCTGTTTTTGCTTTACGAACATCAGTGACATCCTGTAAAGGTATAGTTTTCTGCATAGAGAACAATATCAGAGTAACATAGTCAATAATAAGTTTTTAATAGTACGAGCAGTACATATATTGGTAAAAAATTATTATATGCAATGACAAGATACTTAATGAGCAATACTATAAGCATATAAGTATTTAACATCAAGTAACAAACTTAATTTTAGATATTCGGCATTGAATAATTCCAATCTGTAACAAAAAGCTAACTTCGTCAGCATGTAAATCAGTAAATATGCAAGTATATATTAACTTAGTTGGAGAACCACACTTAAAATTCCAGTCCAACTAACTCTCCATTCAAGCTGTTAAAAAATGTCACAGGAAGCAAAAAAGCATGATATTTAGTACAATGACCACAGAGAAGATGGGAAGTACAAAACAAAACTAGCAGGAATTCAGGTTTAAAAAATATTATTAAAGCATTGATGCCTATGAGACTTCCAAGATGATAAAAGTTTAAACTTATTGCAGAACAGAAACACTGCAGAAGATAAAAGCAGACTTGCAGAACATAGTGCTCACGCTGTTTGTGATGGAACACAGCAATAAAAATTTCATAGCAAATTCAAAGAATAATATAGACACATAGCTCCCAATACATTTCTCAAACAAATCTTTTGAGGGCAATGTATCTTTATATGAAGTTAGTGCCAAGACACGTGTCAAATGATAACAAGAATCTTCGAGCAATGGTATCTGTCAAAATTATGATTTGACAATATTTGTGAACTACATAAATCAATTCGTTATCAGCAAGCGCAATTAAGCAACCAAAAAAGATATACATGATGGAACTGTCTTCAGATCATTTATTAGTTATTACCTTCGTCTCGTATCCGAAAATATTAGAATAGAAGCATATATGGTGTAGAAATAAATACATATGCCCCTGCCAAACAATGTATATTTGTTAGAATCAGAAAATCGTGAACAAGGTTGAAACTAAATATTTTCTCCAGCAAAATGAAATAACCAAAATTACAGTACAATTCCAGCATTTGCGGTTGGCAAGAGTGTAGAGAATTTAGAGACAAGCACAAGCTAAAGCACTAACGGCACCAAATTGTCAAATATGTTGTTTTTTCAATGAAGAGAAGAACGAACAAAGGTAAGACAACAAAGATGGTAACTGGCACCAGCTCCTTTAATTGCAAAGCACATGCCTTTTCCCAACTTTGGGCACTTAGTAATCTATGTAGGTATTTATTTTAAACAAGCTCCAGGGAAATCTCTCATTTAATAAGGACTACAATTGCCATATTAACAGGAGAAACAGAAATTCCCTCACAAGTAGAAGTTTGATGGATCTACAACTTCCATTATGTATGTTCAAGCATATATATTTTATGTATGTTCATGCATGTATATTTTATGTATGTTCATGCATATATATTTTATATATCGATGGCACAAATTTGAATTGACTTTTGTTGGGCTTACATGTCTGCAAGCAAGTTCAAACAGAGATAAATCTAGACCAACATAGTTGCACGCAGTGTGAGTTGCGCCAATTATAACTAGTCCAATTCCAATAAAGTTGATTGTTGGACTATGCATGACCGCTAAATACAGGCAACTTATGCTCAAGGGAGTATCACAGAGGCATATACTCTAGTTTAATTTGGGAGAGGAGCACATAAGAAGTTGAAGCGAAGAAAAGAAAAAAACCTGAAGAAGAATATTTTCTTGGAGGGCACAGTTAAAATCTTGCACAAGGACCTGCAATAACACAATAACTATTTAACATCCTAACATTAAATTGATGAAATATCATGCGAGATCACTTGTGACTATGAGCGGGTACTATCCAAAGCATGGTTACAAAACTGGATAAGGTGCTCTATTCAATTCCAAAGAAAAATCCAAATTTTACCATGTGACCAACCATAAACAATCGATTAACTTGCTAAATTATGTCCTGATCAAAAGATAAACTTGGCATGTTACTGTGATAGGACATGGTAGGTTGACATTTTGGTTCCCCGAACAGTACGATCACGTGAAACAAATTAAAATAGTCACTCAATTAGTTATCAACCGTAAGATCATGAAACCACAAACTGACTACTGAATCCACCACATACAGAAATGGCTATTGAAATCCATACATAAAAAATGGCTGCGATACCAACGCGGCAAATCTGCCAGCTACAGCGAGTCAGACACAATTTTGGCAAGCTATATCAAATTCATCAATAATTGAACCATCACCAATAATGCACATTTTATAGAAGGAACCAAATTGGCACGACAAACGTTACCCTAGGTAAGCAGAGCAAAGATTAAAGTACGAATTTGTTAGTTTTATCCGTGAGGAATCTTCCACATGGAATGAAATCCCCTCAACCCCAGTCCAACCACTTCGGTACACAAATTCCCCCAGCACAACGCATCACAATCAGAAGCCAACAATTAGATCGAACAGAGGAAGCCACCAAATGTGAATTACCTCGTCCGGCGGGAGCCGGAACATCAGCCTGTACTCCTCGCTCCTACTAGCGAGCAACGGGCTCTGCACGATCAAACCGCGCGGCATAAAAAACGAGAGAAGAAAAAAAGAGGAGAAAGCAGGAAAAGTCCGACAAGCTCCAATTCCGAAGAAAGCCACCCACCGAGACATCGCAGGCGGAGAGGTCCCCGGAGTGGGCGGATACCGGGGAGGAGACCGTGGACGCGTCCACGCCGGGCGGCGCCGAGGCGAGGCGGCGCGGCGGGGAGGCCGGCGAGGGCGCGGTGGTGTCAGCGAGGGCACGGGTCGGGGAGGCCGCAACGGTCGGGGAGGCCGCAGCGGTCGGGGACGCCATGCGGGCGGCGCCGTGCTCCGAGGAGAGGAGACGGCGATGCGGCGGGTGGTGGGGCTAGGAGAGGAGGCGAACGGTAGGTGAGTGAGGAGAAGGAGTAGAAAGAAGAAGGGGGGTTTGAATAATGAAAGTGGGGGTGGTGTGAACGGTGACGGTGACGTGTTCCGGCCTTCTTCGGGTTGGCCGACTAGCGGTAGCGGTGGTGGGCTCCGCCGGTGAAGGGAAGGAGACGGGAGGAAGGGTATTCTTTTTCTTTTTATTAGGCAAAGGAAAGGTACCGATTAGAGAAGGAACAAACCAGAACGGGAGGAAGGGTTGTAAATATGACGCCAGATTTTTTATTACTCCCTCCGTTCACTTTTATAAGTCGTTTCAGACAAGCAAAATTAAGTTGTTTTGCACAATGTCTAAAACGTCTACAAAGCCTTATAAAAGTGAACAGAGGGAGTATGAAAAATCGAACGTTTTCTATGACGGTAAGAATTTGCCATAATTGTTCTGTAAGAGGGATGAAAATGATGCTTAATCTCACGAAACGTGAGATCTGAGTGAAGTCCATCTGAGTGAGGATATGTCCTTTTCATTATGAGCCCAGTGACGAAATTCTCTTCAACCGTGACCCATGTCAACTGACACAAACGATTATCATGGGTCTACCTGGTGGGAGATGACCTCGTCATTAGCTCTCGAATCCATCAAGATCTTGGGAAGTTGAATCACGCAATTCGTTGGACCCCGGCTGAATATTCATGAAAAACAGAATCCCGAGTGATCGTTAAATTTCGATGAGCCGTGGATTTGCTCAGAGAAAGATCTTGGTGGATTCTAGATAGCAAGAACTTTCATGGCTCTAATTATCACGGACAAGTTTTTGGGAAATGTTCAATGATACTCAATATCTTTTAGGAGAGGCTAGCTAGTGATTCGACTAAGGATGTATCATAAAATTCAAGTGCTGATTATGGTGTTTGGATTAACTCTCTTAGAGAGATGCCAGTCACTATCACATAGGAATACCAATTCCTCATCCACCTCAGATCCAAACTTGCAGTTTTGATACTTTGTCTTCTAGAGAAAGGACCAAACCAGACTACGGAAGGTATCAAATTCGCCCCTTGTTCAAGATATTCCTGAGTGATCTTAAAATCTGAAAGAAGGGATCATCGGTTCATAACCTTGTAGAATTTATTTGCAAAGAGTGATTGGTCACTCGCCCTTTTCTTTGCACTAGTTATGTGGAAAATTTGGGTTAAGATTTTCTCAGTCGAGATTGTTTCATCCAACTGGAATTAATTTGTTTAATGACTCGTTCAAATGGATCAGGGAATATCTTTTGCGTGTTGCCAAAAGATTCAGAGCAAGATCAAAAGGAATTGACGGGAGAATTCCGTAGGAAAGCTCCTTGGTTCCCACGCTTGATCTCCTTTGACTAGTCTGAACAGTTACCAGCATGGTGAAGGGGCCCAGACGACGCCTACTGCGTCCCAATTACTCCACTTGCTGAAATTTATGCCATTACCTTGGACACGTGTCGAGCTGATGTGGTGAATGAGAGGCTGAGGTCACGCATTGGTTGCTACTCCTCTACCATATATAAATAAACAAAGGGATCAAATCCTGCCATTCTCTCCCCAATTCCTCATCTCCACCGCGGTCTCACTGTTGCGCCCATCTTCTCCACGCGCAATCTCTCGCCAGCTCCTATGTCTTCACAACAAGCTCGAGTAGAAGAAGAAGAAGAAGAAGAAGAAGAAGAAGAAGAAGAAGAAGAAGAAGAAGAAGAACGCGTCCTCCTCGAGTGTGCTTCCGCCTGACTGGAAGAAGGGCGATTGGTTGTCGTCCATGGTGATGGAGCAAGCGCGCATCGAGCTTGTCGCTGATGGGCTCCTGCTAGCGGAGGGATGGAGCCTTATCTCTCATTAAATAAGGTTTGAACTTTATTTTGAATTTTGCTTTTGTTGAACTATTTTTAAATTCAAATTTTGACCTGTTCAAATTTGAATTATGGTGAGCTAAGTTGAAACTACAATTCACTAGTTTTAACTTTGCAAAAAGATTCAATTTAATTGGATTTACAATTTGCAAGTTAGACCCTATTGAATTTGAATATGTTCTTTTCAAATTTGAATTTCTAAAATTTTCAAAATATAAATTTATTGCTCCAGGTGAAAGTGTATTTCCTAAGGATCATTTTGCAAAAAGTTTCACTTGATTTAGACTCTCTCATAAAAACTTATAATGGTTCGAATATTTAGGGTTTTTTTGTAAAAGTGCCATTCTAATCCAGTGGTTTAAATTAAAAACGTGATATGTTTTGTATAAGGCTGGGACACGTGGCAGCTTCTGATTGGTTGGTATCGGTTAAGTTAAAATGTGGATCATCGGAACTAGATTTAATAGTTGTGATTGCGTATCGATTCGGTGACTTACCTAAGTGCACATGGTGCATTAGATCTAAATCGAACGGCTGAAAAAATAGAGGCTCGCCGGCGGTGGCTAGTTCACCGGAGACTCACCGGAAAATGTGAAGACGGCGGCGTGGCTCTGGGGTCGAGGGTTTCAAAGCTTATTGGAAATATGCCCTAGAGGAAATAATATTTGTATTATTTATTTCCACATTTATAATTAAGTATTATGTTCTATATTATAACTATCGTGATTCTTGAATATGTGATTCATAGAAAAACTCATTAGCACGTGTAGAATGATAACTCATTAACCTGATTCCTAGTCTTGCCTCTAGGACTAGCTCAAGCGTTGTATGATGATTATGTTTTCCTGGTCATAGGCATTTATTTAATTTAATGAGGATGCCAACAACATTGAGAGTAGGATGTTATAAGAATGATCATATTGAATTGACCCAACTTGTTTGTCATACTTAGATATGTTATCATCGCAAGTCTATAGTAATAACTCAAAGAGTTAATGTATGCCTAGTTCCTTAGACCATGCGAGCATCAAGTGACTTCATAATGGACAGTACACCTTTCGGGTTGCTCCAACATCAGCTATAACACAGTGATCATAACGACAACTTATAGGTTTATCGAAAAGTATGTCAAGGGGCTAGATAGCTCAAGAGTGGGATTTGCTGCTCCTGTAATGGAGAGATGTTCTTATGGCCCTATCAGTTTGATGGCATCCACCATCGTTTGTCCAGACACATGTGACTAGGTCACAGGGATGCCGGAACATGACTACGAGAAAGAAGAACAAAACCGGTAACAAGGAGACCGGTATAGTGAGCATGTGTATGACTCGCAGGGATACCGACATATCTCACCACAAGTTTTGTAACTTATCGTGAAGTCCATGGTCCCGCTATTGATCATAAGGTGTTTTCGTTCATGTCTATGTTTTACCAAACCTACATGGTCACATGCTTAAGGGAATTATGATCTGTTGCTTTTATTGGATTGAATATGAGAAAATACCGGGATGGTTTCAGGAATGATAGAAATAGTTTCGAGAGAAACCGAAAGCGTTTTGAAGTTACCAGAAGTGTTTCGGGGAATACCGGAAAATGATATACAGACGGAAGTAGTTTTGGGGGACCTAATATAAATAATAGAGGGCTTATGTAATTATCTAGGAGTCCCTAATATTTATTTAGAGTCAATTGGCTAAAGAAAATATCTATAAGGCCTGGTAGGGGAGAGTTATGGGGCCATAACACCCAATAAGAGTGGGGCGCCTCCCTTAGCTTGTTGGAGACGCTTGGGGTGAATTGGGGTTGGATGAGGACTCCTCACATATCTCCGTCGTATCTATAATTTTTGATTGTTTCACGCCAATATTATACAACTTCCACATACTTTTGGCAATATTTTATATGATTTATTGGACTAACCTATTGATCCAGTGCCCAATGCCAGTTCATGTTTGTTGCATGTTTTTGTTTCGCAGAATATCCATATCAAACAAAGTCCAAACGCGATAAAAATTTATGGTAAATTATTTTGGAATATATGTGATTTTTGGGAGGTGGAATCAATGCAAACGGGGGCCCACAACCACCACAAGACACCTGGGCGCCCCAGGCAGCCCAGGCGCGTGGTGGTGGGTTGTGCCCTCCTTGTATGTCGGTTGGAGCTCTACTTCGGGTGCAATGAAGCATATATCCAGAAAAAAATCGTGTTAAAATCTCAACACAATCGGAGTTACGGATCTCCAGGAATTTAAGAAACGGTGAAGGGCCAGAAAACAGGAACGTGAAACAGAAGAGAACAGAGAGACAGATCCAATCTCGGAGGGGCTCTTCGCCGCCATGGAGGCCATGGACCAGAAGGGAACCCTCCTCCCATCTAGGGGGGGATGAAGAAGAATAAGGAGGGGGGCTCTCTCCCCCTCTCTCCCGGTGGCGCCGGAGCGCCGCCGGGGCAATCATCGTGACGACTACCTGCTCCAACAACTTCGCCGCCGTCACCACCAACCCTCCCCCCTCTATGTAGTGGTGTAACACCCCTTTTCTCTGCTGTAATCTCTACTTAAACATGGTGCTCAACGCTATATATTATTTCCCAATGACCTATGGCTATCTTATGATGTTTGAGTAGATCCGTTTTGTCCTATGGGTTGATAGATGATCATGATTGGTTTGAGTTGTATATTTTATTTTCGTGCTATCCTACGGCGCCCTCCATGTCGCGCAAATGGAGGGATCCCTGTTGTAGGGTGTTGCAATACGTTCATGGTTCCACACGTCGACCGCTATCCAACAAGCATCTAGAGTATTAAGTTCATAAGAACGGAGTAACGCCTTAAGTACGATGCCATGATGTAGAGGGATAAGCTCAAGAAATATGATGAAAAACCCCATCTTTTTACCCTTGATGGCAACAATACAATAGTGCCTCGCTACCCCTACTTTGTCACTTGGTGAGGACACCACAAGATTGAACCCAAAACTAAGCACCTCTCCCATTGCAAGAAAAAACCAATCTAGTTGGCCAAACCAAACCGATAATTCGAAGAGAAATACAAATATATCAAATCATGCA